TCCCTGTAGCTTCTGGGAGTCTTCTCAGTTTAGGTTGTCATTTTGCTCACAGAAAAGATAATTCTACCACATTTTTTAAAAAAACCTAAATAAACAGTGAAATGCAAGGAAGGAGGATATATGAACACCTTATTCATAATCTTATATCTAAATGGCTGGCCATGTAACATACTCAAGTACTAGTAATACACTAGTATCAGTAATACAGTTCAAGTTAAATAGAACGTATCTATGAAATGTATTAAAACATAAACAACTAAAATAAATGACAGCATTGTGTCTGCATTTGTGAACTTAGTAAAGGTTTTCAATCAGAATCTTAAAAGGAATGATACAGGCAGGGGGCTGCACTCCAAACGGTTCAACGATTACACGTGATTATTGGTACAGAAAAGAACAGAACTCTATTGATGTAAACCATAATGTACTTGGCATGATCAAGCTACAAACATAGGCAACACTACATATAATGAGACACACGTGTATAAGAGTAAGTCTTAAAATTTACAGATAAATAATATTTACAATGAGATATATCATATAAATAGTAGAGGTTGCATTTATGAGCAACATATTCTTCACTTTACCTACGATACTTACCGACTTTATGTCCCGTAAAGCCGATTTCCTGGTTCTGATAATACTTCCAACTACTCTCTTTCTCTTTTTTCCAATCATTGTATTTTAGACATCATATACATAGTTTATATAGGCAAGAAATAGAAACACATATTTCTTTTATGTACCATCACTACTGCTCCAAACTCCTTGTACGTGACGTCATCAGAGTGGGGGTGTAGTCTCGATACGAAAGGAAATGCATATGCCTTCATAAAACTGCCTAAAAACACTCAATTTTCTTCAAAATTTATACCAAAGAACAATATTGTGAATGTTAAATTTTCGTGAGCCGAAAATAAAAATAAGAAACACAGAAAGACAATAAAACGGACAACATAAATGACTGTGACCTTGACCTATATTTTTGATGCATTATGAGAACCTGGTAAATGGGGCGGGGACGGGGGGGGGGAATGATGACACGCTCTTCTCGGTCACAACATCACAGTTAACGAACGCGGCTAATATTTTTGCATTTTTCATACGCCTCATCTATGGACTTGCAAGAACACTTATCACAATATTGAAAAGCTGTTTTCACTTTGACAGAGAAGGAAAAAAATCATTATTTGGTATTTATTTAAAATTCCCATCTAATTGTCTAACACTGGACAAATATACAAATAAAAATACAAATAAAATTTTTATCAAAAGCCAATCAAATTCCAACTTGTAATATGACATGGTATATAAAGTATTTTTATGTCAAGAAAACAATACAAAGGAGCTTATTAATTATTATCATTTTAAAATATATCATATTTAAATTCTGAAATTTCCATTAAGTTTAAAAATCAATCTTCAACATAAAGAAAAAAAAAATTAAGTACATGTTGAGTAAATGTTGAAAGAAAAAAATGTAAACTTTGTAAAAAAATTAATGGACCAATGAATATATATAAACATGGCCATGACTTAAAATGTCAAACTTATTAAAATTATGAAAAGATAAAACCTTAAAAAAGACAAATATCAAGTTACACATTTGAAAATCATATATAAAGATGGATCCAAAACAAGTAGATATCAACCTGGCAGAATATTAAAAAAAAATATCAAAACTTAACAAAATTATAAACAGATAAATTGGAATAAAAACAATGGAATCAAATTTAAATTTACTGGGCAGACCATCTTGTCCATTACACATAAAGTTTTTCTTTACTGAAAGATACATATGTGTATGTGTATTTAACTATGTGTAGAACATATAATTAAATATTACAAAGGGCAAAATGAAAAGTTTATATTTTCAGAAATATTTTCATATCTTTCTTTTCACTTTGACAGCACAAAATGCTTCTAGTTAAGGTCTATGCTGGCAGGAATGACAAACTCTTGCAGAAAAGCTTTTAGGTTTTCTTTCTCCAAATCCAGTTGTAAGAACTTGTTTACAACATTCTCACATCTGAAACAAATAAAAGCATTAAGCCGAGACTTATAACAAGGAAGATTCTCAGGTGAAAGGCCATTTTCTTCAGTTCAACTCAAAAA